AACATCTAGAGGTTCCTTATATGGGGAAAAAGGAGAAATCCCACCAAACCTCCACACTTTAAAGGTGCTTTGCTCCTAGGAAAAACACCTTGAAGTGCCAGTACTGTTTGCCAGCTCCAGCTCTCCTTGCTGACAGAAAAGAGATGGAGAGCAAGTTGTATTTTTAGTTCAGTAATAATACTTAGCATCTTTCCCTAACTTCAATGACCAATAGGTGGGCCTATTTTCCACTGCATTATTACTTCAAGCAAAATACATGCAATACTAGCTTTACCTGGCTGTTTTCTAAACTGCTTTCAGGCAAGGAGAGGTGCGTTTCTAAGAGTGTGGCTGAAAGGTATACATTTGTACCTGCAAGTAAATATCAGCAACCTATCTAGGAGAAAAATGCACATCCACAGCTACTGATCCAGATGCAATTGGTTTTCCAGCAAGTTCCTATATTTAATCTAAATTCTGCACCAGCTATATTAAATGTAACAAAGAAATGCAACCCAGAAATTATGCCTGGAGCCAAGTCCATTAAAGATACTTCGGAATAACTAGAGACCAAGCACCTTAAAAGCACCAGAAGCTATTGATACTTAAGAAGGGGCCTGTGAATAATCGCAACTGCTGCGTTAGAGAGGGGAGGGAAAGAAAAAAAAAAAAAAATCAGCCAAATTACGCTTGGTTAATTCAGAGTAACAGATCTGCCCCCAAGTGAATTGGAGGCCTTGAATTAATTCTGTTATGACAAATCAAGATAAACGTTCCCCCTAAATTGCATGCGATTTAATTAATTTTTGAGATCCTCGGATTTTTTTTTTCCTAGCTAATAGTTCACATGCTCCTGTGCTGTCATTGTGCTTGAGTGGGCAGACTTCAAAGTGATATTAAATAACCAACTATTAGATTTACCTAGCACGTCCTATTGGAAAAGTGCCATTTAATTACCTAGCCTGTTCAATTAAAGGGACAGCATTCTCTGAATATAGCAGCTTGCTGTTGATTACCAGGGAAATGAACTCGCTGTCTGGCGGCGCCTCCGTTCCTAACGCTACCCCCCTCCCCAAACACACCCTCCACCACCCACCAGCAGCAGTCCCCCCGCCCCGGGCCCCCACCCCCGGCCGCGCGGCGCTCACTGCGGCTGCGGGCGCCACGTGAACCTCCTGAGCAGAGCTCAGGGAGAGAAAACGCGACCCACTCTTCCAGCTCCCGCCCTGCGCTCGCCCCCTCGCGGGCCCGAGGTACCGGCCACTGCGGCCTTGGGCGCCACCGGCCCCTAGCCTGGCCCCGGCCCGGTCGAGCGAGCGAGCGAGCGAGCGGACGAGCACCGGCGCGCAGAAAACCGCCAACCAGGCTTCCGGCGCGCTTCCTCGCCTCACCGGACCTGAAGCCCCACCCGTCGATCTCTCCGAACTTCCTCCTCTCGCTGCACCTTCCGCGCCAGTCTTCGGGCCGGAGGTGGGGGTAGAGAAAGGAGGACTCGAAGAAAGAGAATCAAGAGTTTCTGAAGCTACTTGGTGGCACTGGGATTGAGCTGGGGGTTGCGGAACTGGGGGGTCGTGGGGGGGGGGGGGGGCGCTGCTAAGGTTCGCCTACTTTTGTAATTTGGCAAGGTGGCCGGGCCTGGCCGGCGTTGGCCCCTTTAAGACCCACCCTCCCCTTCCTTTCCCTTCACCCCCTCCCCGTCTCTCCCTCTCTCTCTTAGAGGCCAATTTTGTTAATTAAATGTTTTGTTTGCGACGCAGCTCTCATTCATTGCGGACACGTCATTCGGAGCAGATCTAAGCCAGAGACCAGATCTCATTAGATAAAGCCCATCAGAACTAAGAAAATGGAGGAGCCACTAATTAAAGCTTTTAATTGTGCGGATTCGCTGCAGCAAGGCTTTATCTGAAATCTTGGGAGGGAGAAGAGAAGAAGTTCAGTTCTGCCCAATCGACACTTGGTCGCGCAGGGGTAAGGAACGAGGAAAAAGCGGCACCCTCCCCCCAGCCCCCTCCTCCCCGGGGCTCTCCCAGCTCTCCCGAAGCTTTTTAGCCAGATCTTGGTTGTTTTAAAAAAAAAAAAAAAAAAAACCAGCCTCAAAGTCAGACAGTTTAAAAGCCCCTTAATAAATCGCTCAGTGGTCCCAGCTGGGGCCATAGAGCGAAAGAGTCCCCTTCACCTGGTGGCCGGCGAGCGGATTAGTCCTGCTCCTCAGCGGCCGTCACTGCAGAATTGAAAGCGCCTTCAACAAGTGGACAGAGGGGAGGCTGGGGAAGGAGCAGCTGAGAGGGAAAGAAACACGCGCCTCCCCACCTTCCCACCCTTTTGGCATCTTGGTGGGCAGAAAGAAGGAACACTGAAGAAAATCTTAGGAGATCCCTTAAAAACGGGGGGCGGGGGGAGGATGCTGCTGCTGAGCTCTGGGCAGTGTGAGGAAAGGATCAATTTGTTACTGAGCTAGAACACATCTCTCCAGGACAAATCTAAGGTTCTCAGGGTATCCTCTAGTTCACCAGCAATGGTTCCAGTTTTCAGTAAGGAAAAAGGAAAGGAGACTATGGACCCAAAGGAGACTATGGGGTTGGGCACATATCCTCTGTTTCTCCATTAAGCCACGAGAAAAACACCAAATGGACATTTGATATTTGTTCCCAAGAATAAGGAAAGAAATGGAAGTGATTCCCAGGAAGCCACTTGCCTTAACTTGTCCCGAGGGAATGCAAGTGGACCCATCTTCTTTTTAATTAGTGGTAATCAGAAGGTTTTCTGAAGGCACATGGAGAGGAGATGAATCTGTACCATTCACTGCTTCTGAACAGCACTGTCATTTTTCCCCTTTAAGCCACCCTCCTTACCACAGTTTTGCTCTCTATTTAATTACAATACTGTCAAAGCTCATGGCATTGCTTGGAAGGAGGATAAGAAAGCATTACACCCATGCTCCTGCTGGTTTTCCAACACTTCTAAAAGAACACTTTGTGAAATTAATGATGCCCTCTTAATTTAAAAATAAAAGCCCTCTCCCTTCCTGTATCTATATATATATATATATATATATATATTTTAACTTGGCTGATTGAGGAGGCCAGTACTGCATTACTGGAAAACCAAATGTCACCTTATTCCATCATTTCACACTAATGATATCGCTGTGATAAACATAGCCATACTACTCAGCTCTGAATTGCAGTGGGGTCTTTTGCAGTTTTAGACCCAGAGTGAGGGAATCACAATAGAGCTAAACTTCAAAAAAATACCTCATCTATTGATTAACCCACATTGAAGAAACAGCAAAAATGTTCTAATCTCTATAAAGAAAATGGTTTAGAGCGGAAATTTAAATAGAACGCAGTTTTTAAAAGTGAGCGGTATTCTAATATCAACTGTGTGGGTGTGGGTTTTTTTTTTTTTTTAATTACTGGATGTTGAAACAGAACACCTCCTAGAAGCATTCATGTGCATCAGTCTATCAAACCATTTACTCAAATTAAATGTGTAATCCTTCAAATGCCTCCTTTCAAATTAATGAGTTTAAGTAGCTTGAGTTCACCTGAAAAGATCTTATAGGCACCTGACCTCCTGAATTCTTTCCATTAATTGCACTGAAACTTGTTGGAAAATGCTGCTTACATGGGCATATGAATGTTCGTATACATTGCTTTAAAATGCAAGATTAGTATAATTCTATAGCCTCTTTTCCTAAATCTCTTTTAGAGATCAAGGGCAGTGATACAAATAACAAAAAACCCAAAATCTGAACATTCCTCAATTGAAAGCACTGCAAAATTTTACATCACAAACCACACACTATTTCGAGCCTCCAAGTAACAGTATAAAAAGAGAAACATTACCATTAAGTTTGGTTTTTTTTTTCTTGTTTGGGTTTCTTTGCTACAAGAAAAATGACAAGTCTTTAAACTGATAGGTAACCAGCAGTTTTCACAAGGGGCACAAAGAATGAGTCAGTTTTCTACTCAAGAAAGTTTAAGGTGCTTATGTAAGTATCATAATCAGCCATCACCATCCACAAATCATTGCTCACTAACCACACGTAAAATTTTAAGTCAATCTTTTGTCTCCGAGTTCCTATGTGGGCCCCTACCTTGCTTTAAGAAAGCAGCTTAACTCCCACTAGAAATGTTTATTTTTAGTGGAGGGTCCAACTGGGGCTGACCACTTGAAATCCTGGTCTTGAGTGCAACCTTGGCACACCTATCGACCCAGTTCCACCAGATATGCAGTTCTCAGTGTGGCCTTCGCCATTAATCTGCCATTAAAAATTGGAAGACTAACACATGCTTCTTTAACCCCTTAAATTTCAGCCAGCCAGGTTTTTGGGGTGTATTCTCAGAGGTGCCCTGTTCCTTTCCTTAAAATCCTTGGTGATCTTTAGCCTTGCTACTGCTCTGCCCGCCAATGTTGGGGAAAAGGCAGCCAAGTCTTACCTAATGTAGTCATTTCTGCAAAGAATCATGCCGCTCTTGGTGTAACAGGACGTGCCGATGTCGCCCAGCTGCGCCTGGCAGCAGGAGCACTTGAGGCACCGGCTATGCCAGTAGCTGTCCATGGCATAGAGCAGAAAGCGGTCCGCAATCTTGCCCCCGCAGCCTGCGCACCGCTTCCAGGAGAGGGAGCCGGCCGTCACCGGGGGCGGCTGGGAGCTGCTGCCCGGATTCACCATGGTCTGCAGAGGGCGGGAAGCGGACAAGGAGAGAGAGACAAAACAGGGGCGATGCAAAAGTTAGTAATCTCCGCGCTAGAGAGCGAACCCGTTCCCCCCCAGAACTGCTGGAGGGAAGCAGCAGAGCAAGGGCGGGAAGGAGGATGACGGGGAGAGGGAAGGAGGGAGGCTTGCCGGCAGCAGCCGCCTGTTTACTTTTCTCAAGCTTTGTTCTGGGGCCACGAGCTCCTCTCAACTTTCCAGCGCTCGCCGCCGCTGACAATTTCAGCTAGGGTACTGTCAAAACTCCGAGAGCCAGGCTCCGCGGCGCGCTCCACCCCTCGCGGCGCCTCCTCCCGGCCCCCGCCTCCGCCCACCGCCCCCTCCTCCCCTCCTCCGCCGCCCGCCTCCAGCAAATGAGGGTCAAACCCACCCACCGCCGCGCCCGGCCCCTCCCCGGGCCCCGCCGAGCCCAGAGCGCTCGCCGAGGGGAGTGGGGAGGCGGCGGCCCCCGCCGGAGCCACGTTCCCTCCCGAGCTCTGCCCCGGGAAGTGCAGCTGCAGTTCACAAGTTGGAAATAGTTCGGCTTTCTGAAAGGGAAGGAGGGAGGAACTAGCAGAGGGGAGATGGAGCCCGTGATGGTGGGAGGGAAGGCGGGGAGACGGCGTGTGTGTTGGGGGGGGGGGGGGGCGGTGTGTAAAGTTGCGAAACTGGTTTTTCGTATTTTAAACAGCACCTTTCACATGCCATTGTGGTGACCGCCATCTCCCATTATTGTTCCAAATCTCATTTCATTTTGAAGATCAATCAGTGTTTTCTCTGGGTTTTCAGGACACAGGCAAGAATAATAGATCATTGAACTTTAGGATGCCTGTTAACTTCCTATACAAACACTCTCCACTTTGGTCTCACTAATCTGCCCTTGATCAGCAATTTAAATGCTAAAGCTTTGTTCCTCCAAAGGGGCGGGGGCAGCCGGGGGTACGTTACAGATAATATGCGAGAAGGAACTGTTAAAGGATGCACAAGTTATCTCCGAGCCAGTCCTGCTGTCACCAAAAACTGCTTTTAAAAATTCCCCACTCTTTCTAATGAATGTCACGAGAGAAGCAACTGGGGTATAATATAGGAATCAATTTATAAAGCTTAGCCTAAACCGATTAATTTGTTGCCTCCAATCCTGAGTCCAATAAAGTCCTCGTGTTCCTCCAGTCACTTATTCTATAAAAAGATCAAGTTATTTACTGCCAATTAAGCAGCCTGTTTTGTCTTTGTCCTCCGTAAGCCGAGAGTGTGGGCTCCCCTCGAGGCTCCCGGCTATCTGCTCAAGACATTCAGCTGATACCTCAGAAGGGAGACGGCGAACTTTGCCTGTCCCCAGCCCAACTTGGCTACTGCAGGAGGAAAAAAAAAAAAAAATATATATATATATATATATACACACACACACACACACGGGGAAGGGAACGAAACAAGGACTCGGGTTCCTTAAATAGGCCGATTTTAAACACATTTCCTCCGAAAGAGTCCCGGAACGTGTGTCCAGTGACCGCACAATAAACCAGAATAAGAACTGCACCAATTAAGCTGTAACAAAACCCTGAGACTTTGGAAACAGGACCACTCTAAAACCCATTAGCATTGCATTTATCCGAATGCATCATACCTTTATGTAAATTGATTTATCTGATGCATTTACTCGAGGAATTGCTTTTTGTTACAATTTGCCCTAACCCAAATGAATCTGCATTTCCTGCCCTAGGTCTTTAAACAACCCCCCCCCCCCCCCCCCGTTTTAATCGCTCCAAATTCCTTTTTAAAAGAGGAGAGGGAGGGAGGAGATTCCAAGCTCTTCCCCGCCCCCATCTTTGGTGAGAGGTAAATATATATGTATTTTTTTTTTTTAAAGGAAACACTACACTGAGAAAAGCATCCAGTAACCCCATTAGCTAAAGCTCTTAAGGACAAGCAATACCTTAATGCTGATTAAATCTAAAAGAGATGAATCAAGAGGACTGACCAGAAACTGACTCCCCTGATAACTAAGGACGGGCCCTCATCAAGTTTCATTTAGAGTTGGGGAAAAAAAAGAAAGAAAGCTTTTAAGTTAAATAGGCTTATACTCTAGTAATTACATAGCCAAGCAATTTAGGTCCTGGGATAGTCAGTGAAATAGAAAGCAGAACTGGCAGCTAGAGGCAAAATCTGCCCCCCTTTAACAACGTCTCTGGTGTTTTTTAATGGAGACCAAGGGAGGGACAGACGTAGCGCTGGCAATTTGTAGTACAAAAATGGATGCTTAATTCATGTCTTGATTTTAATTAGGTGATTCACCGGATTTCTTCTGGATTGGAACAAAAGACTTATAAGCCAAGAGGAATTTTTTAAAAGAACCAGCAATACCCAATCTTGCTCACTTAGATCCTTTCTGCCACTGTTTCAAAAATAGGGGGGGGGGGGGAGGAGTGGAGTGGAGGGTCGTGACTATTTCCCCCACACTACTTCTCAGACTTAAACCCTTATAGCACCTCCAGCCTTTCCCTTCGTAACTGAAAATATACCCCCCCCACCCCCCCACCCCCCAAGGTCTCCAACAGCCCCATCTCCAAGAAGAACCCTTTTGTAAGCAGGAACCGCTACAAAGCTGGCGGCCCGGGGCTGTCCTCCGTGCTAGCTCGCAGGCCGACCTCGGTAGTTTCAGACTCGCGCATTATCTAAGCCGACGTATTGTTTACTTGCAATTTGGGACGGTCAAGGGAAGGAAGCCAAAGAAAACAGCCCCGGCCCAAATCGGCCCTCTCCTCTTTCTCCCCCCCCCTCCCTGCCCGCGGCTCCCCAGCCGTCCCCTTACCTGCTTTTCCCCTATATTGCAATATTGCGAGAGGCGACGGCGGCGAAATGCGAGCGAAGCCGCTCGGCTTCCAAGGAAGGGGCGCCTCGGCTGGCTCCGGGGCTGCTGCTGCCCGGCTCGGAGGCGGCGGCGGCGGCGGCGGCGCTGGCCTCTAGCCGGCTCGCTCGCTCCCTCCGCGGCTCTTACACATGTGTTACTGACAGAGCAAAATCCCAACTACTCCCCGGCTCTGCTGCCGACGTCAGCGACCCTCAGCCACTGGGCGGCCGGATTGTTCAGGCGGAATAATAAAACCTGCCAATCCGGGCAAGGACAAAGGGATGACTGAAATGAGACTCCAGGGGCGGGGGAGCGAGCCAGGCGGAGGAGCGGGCCGAGGCTGGAGCGCGGAAGGGCCGGAATCAGGTGGGGAGAAGTCACCCGGCGCCGCAAACCCCGCCGGGGCGGCCCCCCGCGGCCCGGGAGGGCGAGTCGAGGCACCGGGGACCCACTCTCCCTCCGTGCGCACGAGGTATCCCCGGGACCCGCCCCGCTAGTCCCTCGGGGACAGCCCGCCCCTCGCGCCGAGACGAGCCCTTTAGGAAACTTACTTCACATCTGCCTTGGAAATGGGTCTCTGTTGGGGTAGAAAGGCTTTCCCGAGACCTCCAAGCTATGGAGATCTGTGCTGTGTTTTTGAGGCGTTGTTTTGTTTTTTAAATTCACCATGTTAGAGATTTGTGAACCTTAGTGGAAGTTTAATTCACAAGGTAGAAACAGTCAAGAACTCAATAGTTCCAAAACACTGCCTGCATACCTCCTCTTCTTCCCATCAATCCATGTATAAACTAAGGGCCCAGTAGGCGTTTCATAGGTATTTATCAACGTTGGTAAAAAAAAAGATCACAGTCTACTTTCAAAGTTGAGGAAAACTTTAGGGAAAAAACCCTTGCCCCTTGTATCCACCCCACTGTAGAGGATGAGAAGCCAAATTTCTTATAGCCCTCAGAGTGATGGAACTTATCGCAGTATTAGAAATCCCACAGCTTCTGGAGAGTAAGAAAAGTTATTTCTAGTATAAATCAAGTTTTGAGGAACGGTTTGAGGGTGGTAGTCTGAGTGTCTCATTCTAGTACCTCAGTTCAGCCTAGATGCTTAAATACCTAGTCCTTCAACTTTTATCTGCTCTGCCAAATAGGTTTAATAAATCTCCGATCTGAGGCTAATATTAGGTCTGATTATTATTAGTAAGTTCCAGAGAGATTTTTCTGGTGGAAATTATCATGAAAGTGCAAAGCCCTTCTGCTAAGTATCATTAAGTAAAACCAGTCTTGTGGGACAAGTTTTCATATTGTATTACACACAGCACTGCTAGATTGAGAAAAGGGACCTGCAGAAGAATCTAGCTACAGACAATGCAGATGTTCAACATCTATGGTTTTAGCGTCTGTTTGGGGGGATTTCTGTCTTTCAAACCATCAAAACTAAGTCTGCCAAAGAAACTATAGTCGTTGCCTACAACATCACGCAGAGGACATTTTTAAATACCAGTTAGGCTATGCCTCTCTTTATATGTCTAGCACCTTGAAAGGAATGGCTGCACCTTGAAATGGAATGGCTTACTTTTATTGATTGGAACTTAAAATTTCATTTTTATGATCAAATCACTTTGTGCATGTATGAAAAATATTTTTTTAATCTTTAAAACTATAATAATAATTAAAATGTTCTGGATAGAAAACAGCTGCAGGTGGGTGTGATTAAAGAAGGCCAACTTAAAAAGATGTAATGTTCCTTGAAGGTTGGTAAAGAAAACTCAATTAAACCAAACGATGAAAGGAACCCAATAAACAATAATACACACATTTTAATCCACTAGTTCAGCTTCAATTTGTTAATAATTTATAATAATCAAAATGAGATGACACAAGATCTTAGTGGGCTGCAATTAAGTTAGGATTTGTCCTGTGCAAGTAAAGTAAATTTCCTGCTCTGGCCCTTCATTTTCTCATCCACAAATGAAGGAATCAAGCCAAATCATCTTTATCTTTCCTCTTTTTAAAAAAACATTATTTTCTATAGAACTTTTAATACATAGGTCTGGAAGGAATTGTGGTGCTTTATTTCCCAAAGTATGTACTCTAAAATGAAATCTTTTATTTCAACATGAAATGTTAGAAAACTAATCAAACATTAGATATCACGAAGTAATTGTCCAAAGGATCATAGTTTCTATGGAAGGAAAGGAAGAGAGAAGGATGGCTAAAACTTTGAATACAGGTCTCTAGGCTTGGAGGGGCCTAGGAGGTGGTGTTTTCGCTCTGATTGTGAGTGGAGTGAAGACTTTACACATGTCCCTGCAGATTGGAGTTGGTGAGAGCATGTTACCAGCAGAGACCTTTATTTCCTGATATTGTGGTTATAGAAATACAAAAGCGATGATGGCTAACAGTCTCTATTTAGAGGGGTAGGAAGTAAATACATTCCCTGTAATCAAAATCCCCGTGTACTTTAGCCACAGCGCCACCTCTGGG